CTAGCTGAGGAAGATGAAATTGATAAAACAAAAGTAGTAGAATCGACAAGTATTACATGAAAAATATGATACGATTGTCGAGCTGATGTTTGAAACAAATTAAAATTGTAAATATTATATTAAATTAATGTAAAATTATAAGAATTATAATTATGCATACATGTGATTATTAATGAGAATGTATATGTGTACACAATACGATATTGAACATATCGAAAATTTGATTTTTTTTAGAAAGATTTCTTTCGGCATATACATACATTGAACACATACGTAGTGATTTTTAAATTAATTATGTTTTCATATTACGAATGTTCATAACTTCATCCATGGATATGTATATGTAATGTACGTGAGTATATATATAGATATATATACATATGTGTGTGTATGTGCGTATGTGCGTGTGCGTGTGTGTATTTGTATATTTTTTATGTGTTTACAACATATACTTGAACTTGTATAGTGTTTGGTAGATCAGTAGATCTTTCCAGTTCTTTTTATATATTTTTTTATCCCTATAAAAAGCCCAATATAATAACATTTTTTTTTTTTTAACGAAAATAAAGATAAAAGAAATTACTGTGAACTCGCAAAAACGCGTTAAGATAGATAGATTGAAGAAGCATTAAGTTCCAAGCAAGAAAAAAAAAGTATACCGTGTACTTTTTCTTTTTTCTCGAATAATTGCATTTCACACACGAGCGTCTTCCATGGCATTGAGATAACATAATGATATTGGACGACAATGATTCGATTAAATGATGAAATATTTTAGGCTGTTGAATATAAATTGTGTGATCTGAATACACATGACACAAAAAAAATGGCGGTTGCTATTTGGAAATTTTACAATAATTCTTATATTACAGTGGCCTTTCGTTTATCTTCACTTCTCTCAAATATTTATAAAAATAAATACTTTGAAAAAGTGGCTTCGTTTACTACGGTAATTAATTATATCGGAACAATAATAAATAATTATTTCATTCAAAATAAATAAATAATTTGCTTTCTTTAGCATCGTTTCGCATTATTATTTAATATGCGATTTACGAAAAAAAAAAAAAAAAAAAAAAAAAGGGCTTTTTCTTTTAAAATTTTTTATAAACCCTTTATTTAAAAAAAAAAAAAGATTTTTTTTTTTTAGGATCTTTTTGCATTTTTTTTTAAAATAGGGTTTACAAAAAAAAAAAAAAAAAAAAAAAAAGATAAAAGCGGCTTTCTCGTTTAAGAATTCTTAATACCGCTTAATTATAAAAAAATATGAACATTATGTTCGATTTCGAGCGTAATAATTTTTCTGGATCCTTAGCGAGAAGGTCGTTTCGTATATACGTACGCATTTTCAAAAATTCGTTTACATCGTTAATAATCTTAATTTATACACATATTATGAATTTTCGCTTTATTTTTACGAACATCGATTTGCGCCTTATATCTTGAATCATATCTATTTCTTTTGAAAAAAAAAAAAAGTTCATTTTAAAAATAATAAAAAAATCCATCGATTTACGAAATTGCATTTAGGAACTGTGAGATACACATCTCATATCACGTTATTTAAATATAATTGAAATAATCGTTTCATTTAGATGAATCAAAAGGAAATTAAATTATACTTTGATAAAAACATTTGAATTCAATTCATCTTTGTCAAAACCATATAAATATTATCGATAAACTATATATATTTTATATATATATATATATATGATTTCTTTCTTAATAATAAATGTGTAAGGCTGCAATATCGGCGCACGTAATAAATTGTACATAATAAACCATTTAATTAAATTGCTCATTTTAATACAATATTCATTTATGGAACAGTATAGTTTTATATCCTTTTCTGGAACGCTTGCGAAAAGGAAATGCTTATTATTTGTCTCTATTACTGATACTCGTGTGACTTCTCGGACATGTTTATATACAATTGAAATATTAACTTACTAATTATAGGACTCATCGCAGACATAGGCAAGAAGCAAACGTTCTAGAAGAACTTGATGTATTTGATTGTGTGCTATTCTTTTAACGTTAAGGTATCTAAAATTGTACATTTATTGTCACTGTACAGACTTATTCATTTAAGTACGGACCCTCTTTATCGAGCATTATCGATTTTTTACTTCGTAACAATATGATAGACATCGTAACGGTGTTCATCAAACGGTGTTCATCGACACAGCTCTCAGGTTCCCTTACGTTAAAAAAATATCACGAATAAAAAATTGCTAACACTCGTGACACGTATAAACAAATTAGACCTTTTTCATCGTTTTGAACATTATATCTTTTTATGCTAGGCTATTTTTTTTTTTTTTTATCGTATTGAGATTCTTAATTTATAAAGATGCATCAGAAACGTGACGAATGTTTCGAATAACTTTTGATCTGTTTTTTTTTTTTTTTTTCTTTTTTTCTTTTTTAAATGGAAATCATCCAAAAGTTCCCTCAATTTTTAACACATTTTTATCTTTACAAATCCGATTCACCATATAGAGCAGTAGAGAACGAACGATAATCTAATGCTCCAGGAATTGCGTTCGGTCCTTTATAAGGTGGCATTCGTTGAATACAATATTCAGCCTGATCAGGTGGCAATTCTCTTCTCAATTCGTCTGCCAAGATGTACGGCTAAACGATGCAAATTAATAATAATTATAATCAATAATAATAATAATAATTAATTTGTGTTTCAAAATAATAATATTATATTTTTTTACTATATAAATAAAAGCATTGCAAACCTTGTCTCCGGCAAGTATACGGAAACTATCGATAACTTGTTCAGCCGTATCCGTATCTGTAGACTCACGAGTCATAAAGTCTAGGAACGCGTCAAAGTGTACGTAACCAGAATTATTTGGATCAACAATAGCTAGGATACGTTGGAAATCGATATCGCCTTGCCTATCCTTTCCAATAGAATATCCAAGTGAAACAAGACAAGACTTGAATTCATCAGGAGCCAATCTACCTGTACGATTCTTATCAAAATGATTGAAACTACTACGAAATTCGTTAAGTTGTTCTTGCGTGATACCCTGTAATATAGGTTAAATTTATATTTAATAATAAACCATGAGAAAGATGGATTACAATTATTCTTAAAAAAAAAAAAAAAAAAAAAAAAAA